GGGGGGGGGGGGGGGGGTTGTGCTCAGAGGCTGGATCAAGACCAGACTTTATTGCGACCACCTCAGGTAATATTCCATTCACTGCCTGAAGCCCCCAACAGCCATCACTGAGGGCACTGGTCTCCTGTTGGGGACATCACCTCACCTGGCACTGATAGCCCTCATCCCAGCCCCCAGGACTCCTGCCCACCTTTACCCCCATCCCTGGTATTATTCCCTAGCCTCTGAAGTGCAGAACACAGGCATCAGTGTGGGCTCTGCAGGAGCTAGGCTAGGTCCCACGCACCCACCAGGTGCACAGGTGAAAACAGGGAGTCAACAGGCCCTCATTTCTTCTTCCTCTCATCTCATCCAGTCCTGCGGCACATTCTGTGGCCCCACCTTCGAATGTTCTTGAATCCAGCCACTTCTCTGCACCCACAGTCTCATGTGGTCCTGGGTCTACCTGGCATCCTGCAGAGAGGTCAGAGGGAGCCTTCTCTGCTTACAGTCCTCATGGTCCATTACTCAGAGTAAAAGCCCAACTCTTAAGACTCACTACCTGCCCTCTTGCCCTTCTCTCCACCTTGTGCCCTCCACTGCAGTCACACTGGGCTTCTCCCTGGTCCTTCAATACCACAGGCACAGTTCTGCCTCAGGACCTTTGCATTGGCTGTTGCCTCTGCCTAGAAGAATGTGGTTCCCCTAGGTACTGGCAGGGCATCTCCTCCTCTAACTTCAGGTTTCACTTACAAATGTCACTTGCTCAGTGTATCTCCCTGACACCCCCCATCAGTCTTCTCCTTGGCACTTGTCACCATCTGTCCTGCTGTACCTATTTTTGAATGTCCACATAGACAGGGATTCAACCATCTCATTGGATGACTAATGCCATAGCCAACCTGGCAGGCAGAGGGGCTCAGAGGTCCTGGGCTGGCTGGACAGGCCCCCATAGGTCCAGACCTGCCTGAGGGGCAGCCCTGGATCTTCCCAACCACCCAACTCTGTCCTCCCACCCAGCACTATCTGGTGTCCATGGCACCCATCAGTAATGAGAGAGGGCCCCTGCCCATGAGCCTAGCTCAGCCTCTAGTTTCATTCTGGCGAGGCCCAAACAGGAAGCCGCCAACAGGTGGGTGCAAGGCGGGAATGGAAAGTAGCTCCTGGCGCTGGCAGTTGGAGACCAGGGCTCCCAGACACTAGGGGCCTGGTAAGGGGCTGCTGAGGTCCCATGGCTGGTGCTCCTTTCCTGCCCCACCTGAGGACAGGCCTCCTCTCTCCCCACTGATGCCCCTGCCTGGGGAGGCCACCTCTGCACCTCTTCCCTGTTGAGCTCCACACAGGCAGGGAGGGGCCATCCCTTGCTCTGCGTCCTGTTCTGGCAACTAACGGCCTGAGTTTGGGTAGCCACATGAGGCAGATGAGGCCAGGCACTGGGAACTCAGGTGTCTTATTTCCTCCCTGGGAAGGACTCAGACACTGGTCTAGGGACAAAAGGCAAGAAGCCCTGTCCAGCTCATGGAGCCCAGTATGGCGCAGGGCCTTTGCCTAGGCTGTTCCTGCTGCCTAAGATGCTCGTCCCCCAGAACCTGGCCTGGCAGCAACTTCTTATTGTTCGGGTGGACATAGCTTGATGGTGACCTCATCCCAGAGGTCCCCAAACCCACCTATCTACCTCCCTCTCTGTTGTCCTGCTTCCTCTTATCTCTCAGGGCAATCACTATTTTATTTCTCTAAGCTGGCGCTCCAGCACCCATGACCCTAATCACAGCAGGTCTCAGGCTTGGCTGATGACTCACTGCACAGCAGCACCAAGGAGCAGGGGCCGGGGGGAGGCTGATGTTTACTTCCATGAGGGCCCAGCATACTCCTTACTCGCTTAGCCAAGCTGAGGTTTGAGCACTTCCAGCCCCCTCACCACCTACAGACCACCTGGGGGTCCTGGGTTTGAAAAGTGGTGCCTCTCATGATGGCTATGACTTCTCTATGCCTCGGTTTCCCTGGATGCAAACTGGGCTTGGGGGACATGGCTGTGCCACCTTCAGTTCAGCAGCATGGGACAGCTGTTTTGAGGGGCAAAGGAGTCCCTGCAGCTGCTGTTCATAGACCCTGGTCTCCAGGACCCCATGCCCACACCCCTCCTCTCCCAGCCTTGGTTCCCAAATGCCCCTCTCAAAGTGGCTAGTGCAAACATGGTTCATATGGGGATACCCAGAGTGGAGACGTTTATTGACAGAAGAGGGCTGGGCTTCCAGCCTCTGCCTCTGGCCAAAGAGAGGAAGAAAAGACGAAGGTGAGTGCCCAGTGGGGAGGGCAGCACGGCTGGGCCTCATCTTCCCACTGAGGAAACTGCATCTGGGGCCGACCTCAGGCGCTGGGGGTATATTGCAGTAGTAGCCGATCAAAGTCATTTTCCTTCAACATGAAATAGAGGGCAAAAGAGAAAGGGAAGCACACATGAGTCAGACTCTGAGTTCCGGGCCCTCCCTGGTGGGCCTCGGGGGGGTCTGGGAGCTCACCTTGGCCTGGTACTCCTTGATGAAGGGGTGGGACCTGTGTGCGTCCTTCAGCTGGGACAGGTAGCGGTTTGTCACCTGTTGGGAAGGTAAGGCTGCGGTTAACTGAGCACAGGGACACCCTGTGGCTCTGACTGGCAGGGCAGGGGTGGGGTAGGACAAGGGCCACTAAGCAGACTCCCTGGCAGGAGCCCTGATTTCCCCACATGTACCCCACTGCCCCACCCTGAAACAGTGCCAGAGTTTGGCACATGAATGGAGGATGCACCACAGGGTTCACAGGAATGGACTGCGCAGGGACCAGGGACCTGGCAGAGGGTGGGGAGCCAGGAAGAGTGGAGGGCAGGGCAGGGGGAACGGGGTTGGGAAGGGAATGAGTTTGATGCACCCAGAGGTCTGGGGACTGAAACCCCAGCAGAGCCTTTGCTGGCAGCCTTGCCCCACCCACCAGGTCTAGCCCTGACTATATGGGGCTAAGGCATTTGTCTGGTTCTGTCTCCCTGAGACTAGGAGTCTAGGTCTGTTTCTGGGGTGAGTAGGAAGGTCATCCTATCTGTCCTGCACCACCCTAGCTGAGGCTCCCTAAGAGTTTTTCTCTAAGGGCCAGGATCCCCAGCTGAGCCAGTCACCTAAATGAGCAGTGTTCCGGCATCCTCCTTCCTCCCCACACTCAGACAAGGTGGATCACTCCCGAGCCCCTCTTCCATCCTGTTAGCCACCCCCCACCCTGGGGTAGCACAGGTTGGGGTCCTGGCCCTAATGCCCTCTCTGAGCCTCAGCCCACTTGTCCTTAGGACCCATGGGAGCAGCTGACCTGTGGCCCCAGCGAGGGTTAGGGACCTGGAGGAGCACCCACAACTCCAACTCCCCAGACCCCATCAGTGATGGCAACTGTACCTACCCATGGGGAGTGGGTTTTTGCCCATACCTCAGGCCAACACTGAAGTCCAGACCCTGAGGCCCTGAGCTTCCTCTGGAGCTGAGGCCACACCAGAAACCGCCACCTACCCCAGGCTGGCTTTGTGAGGGCCAGACAACCCTCCTGCACCTGGTTGGGGGAAGGGGCCTACCTCAGGTGGCTTGCCCAGGTGCTGAGACAGGACGATGAGGTTAACCAGCGTCTCTGGATGGCCGCTGTCCTAAAAACATAGGGACACCGGGAAAACAGGGTCAGCACCTCTAGACCCCCAACTTGACCTGCTCACCCCCATCTCAGACAGGATGATGTCCCTTCCCCACCACCCTGGGGATGTGGTGGGGATGTGACCTGCACAAGGTTACACCTTCAGAGGTAGGACAGGGTCAAGGCTCTAAAACCCTGAGTGCTCCCCACACTAGCCACTCTGCATGACAGTGACCTCAGGGACCTCCTTCCTGACCTCCCACTTCCCCATGCCAGCTGCTTCCCCTCTTGAGCTAGTTGCCTCATCAGATCAGACTGGGATAGCGCACCCTGGCCTGTAACAATTTGGGAGGGGCCTATTTACCACAAGAATCTCAAATCTCAAAGTAACAAAGCCTGGCCAAAGGCAGTCTCAGTGTTGCCACAGCCCAGCTGTCCCTCGTGCTGGAGGATGAGGTCTGAGACCACAGGCAGACCCCACCTGCCCTGCCTGTTCCCTGGAGGCCTTGGCAGGAAGCTGCTGGGAAATTATCAAAACCTCCAGGAGGGTGACATCACCCCACTGGCCCACACTGGGCTCTGAGGCACATGGAATCCTGGTAACCAGCTGGCCAATACCTTGGCCAGGAATCTCAGCCAGAACCCCTGGTGGCTGCAAGGCAGGGATATGCAGGGAGCTTGCTAGGGCACTTGGGGCAGAGGTGCATCACCCAGGATGCACGGCCACCACAGGGCCGCTCCACCCCATGTTGCCCTTCTTTGCAGAGATCTAGCTTCTTCTGTCAGCATAGGGCACCCTGAGGTGGCTCAACAAGTGTAGCCTGAGGATACCAGCCCATAGGACCACCGGACTAACATCCCTTTGGCCCATCTCCACTCTGCAAACAATCTTTTGATAACTCAGCCCCTTGCAGAAATGAAAAGGGAGAAAGCTTCCTACCGCTGTCAGTTTCTCATTATATTAAAAGATGTTTTCTAAAAATGGAAGAAGCTTTAATGTATTTTCCAGTTATAAAAATATAGCGAAAAGACCTCAGATGTCAGTGGGGAGAAGAGAACTATGGCCACCCCTGAGGACAGTGTTCTTGGTCCCTCTTCTTGACAGGGTCCAGGCACCACCTCCTGTCAGCAGCCCACTCTCCCTTCCCTCATAGTGAACAGTGGGTGTCTCTTCCAAATACAGACCAAGGTGAGGCATGACATTGAGGTCCCCACACTAGGCAGCCAAGGTCACAGCAAGGAAGGGCTGGGCATGCATGTCCACTCAGCTCAGGCCAAGTCAGGCCCCAGCTGATGAGGCCCTCCCATTTCCAAGAGAAGCTGGAATCAGGGTTTTTGTTTGTAATCATGAGTTTTAGCTGATTCACATTAAAATCCCCATGTGACCCATGTCACCTGCTGTCCTCTCCAGGAGCCCGGGGGTGTGGGCTGGACCTCCCCTACCTTGTCCAGTGCCTCTTGTAGCACGCCCTCGGCGGCCTCCCAGCGGCCCTGGGCCATGTGGCAAGCCGCCTGCCCATTGAGCAGCAGCAGAGTGGACAAGCACTTGTCAGCCATCTCCTGGAAAATGTAGTAGGCGTCCTGTAGCTTTTCACCACCCTGTGGGGACAGCTGATATCACTGCTTTGTCACCCTGCTGCCTGACCCTACCCCGGCCCGCTGCCTCAGGGCAGAGCAATTCCAGCACTCTGCAATAGGTGATCCCAGCACAGCCAGCCCATGGCAGTCACTCCTTGGACACTGCCCCTGTGCAGAGACCCCCACACAGCCTAGGCTCTGCCAAAGAGACCAAAACAGCACGCAGTCACCTCACCCTTAGCTCCCCAATCCTCAGTTTATAGACTTGAAGCTGAAGCTTCAAAGGGAGAGTTAGCCCATGGACATCTGGGCCAAGGTCAAGTGGACACCACTGGGTCACACTGTGTGTCAAGGCAGTCTCTTCTCTGTAACCAGCAGACCCAACCCTGCCCACCAAGTTCTGAGTTCTGTTCTTTTGCTAAAGGTGCAGGGTCACACTTGCAAGGGAGCATGAGACCAAGGTGTGCTTGTAAAAACAGGCAAGGCTACCACAGAGTATTGTCGGTGGGTTCGTCGAACTGAACTGAGCACATACTGGAAACCTGCCTGGGTGAGGCCTCAACCCCCGAGGGCAGCATAGACACAGATGGGGAGCACATTTTAAAAGGCTCATACAAAAAAGCAACTCGGAAAACAGTAGCCAAGTGCCAAAAAACAGAAAAGGGTCTGTTGCCAGGAGACGGGAGATGGGGTGCTCAGGCATGTGAGGAGGGGGCTGGGCGCAGGGGAAGGTGCCAGGGGACACTGGCAACCACCCAGTGCTAGGAGCCCAGAGAGCAATCTGAGCAGCTTCTAGGCACAGGGTCAGACTCTGGAGGAGAGGGCATGTCCCTGGGAAGGTGTGTGGGCAGATGTGCTCCAAGTCTGGTTGGAGTCCCCAGTTTGTTCACTCTGGCTCTGGCCAAGTCACTCGGCTGCAAGAAGCCCTGAACAGGGTTAAGACTGAGGCTGAGTGAAGTGGGAAACACGCCAGGGGTGGCCTGGGCTGGGGGGTTCCTTTGGGGGATGGGACCCTGGTCCCAAATAAGCAGTAGTCCAGTGCATCCCTGGAACCCCACATCTGTATTCCTCCAATGGGAGCAGCAGCTCTGGATTCAGGGGGCCACCTCCTGGCACTCTGATGTTCCTGCACCCTGTCCCCAAGCCCCGTGTGGCCAGGGGCTCACCACGGCTAGGTTGACCCAGGCAGTGGCCAGCTGGGTGAGGGTGGCGTCCTCGTCTTGGTCTTGCATTTTCTTTAGCTCCTTCCTGGGGATGGAAGAAAGAGGTGGGAGGGAGCCAAGTGGTTTGGCTGGTGCCCCTCCAACACACTCCTGTTCCTTGCTCATGGGGTGTACACACATACTGGCTCACAGACCCTGGCCCGGCCACCCCCCCTTGACTCGTACATGCTGGCCCCACTACACTTGAAAAGCCCACCCCAACACTGCCACACCACCTACATCACAGAGGGAAAACAGGCATGGACGTTGCCACCCCTCATTCCTGTAGAGAAAGGTGGGTAAGGATAGTATTCACCCAACAGACTGGAATGAAATAACTGGAGAAATGATCATGCCACCATGTTCTGGGTCTTGGGGTGGGTTCTGGAGCAGTCCCCATTCTGAGTGCCTCCTTGAGGGCAGAGGACTGGTTTCTGGAGAACACAGGGTCCTGATGTGGACTTGTCATTGTTCAGAGAGCCCTGATACATAGGCCCCAGCATAGCAGCCCCAGGTGGGGATAGGTAGACAAGGGCTTACCGGGCGAGGTCCACGCGGTCCAGCTTCAGCAGGATCTGCACAGTCATGGCCATGCTGTGGGACAGGGCAGATGGTCAGTAAGCACCCTCCCCACTCCACGCCCATATGCATGTTACCTTCTAGTACATTCTTATGAGTGCTCAGGCCACCAGTCCTGCCTTCAGACCTGGGCATTGCTCACTGGGCCAAGCCCTACTCCATCTCTGAGGCCCTGGCTTCCACATCTTGCCACTGATCATGCTTGGGCTGGGAGCTTCCATGGGGTCCCCAGGGTGCAGGCTTCAGGCCCATGGGTACCCTGTCCAGGCTGGGTACCATATCCGTGTCACAACCCCGCTCCTTCCCAAATTCAGTCAGAGATGCTGCACTGAGTGAGGGCAGGTAATCACCCCCTCAATTTCCGAACCCACTGCCTCCCTTTCAGCCCTAGACAGCTGTGACTGCCCACTACTTATATGGCTGCTCATTCCCAAGTTTTCCCACCAGAACATGACCTAGCACCCAGAGCAGCCCTCAAAGCAGCCTGAGAAACACAGAGTCCACTGCCTTGTTAGCCCTGCACTACATCTGTTTCTAAACTGATGCAAACCCCCTTTCTGGAACAAGGTAGAACATAAACAGATATGTAACAAATGTATGGTGACCAAATAACTGAGGGAAGGCAGGTACCAAAGAACTCATGGGAGAGGGCAGCTGCAACCTCTGGGGTGAGCTCTGGACACAGCACCCTGGATAGGCCCAGAGTGACCTCCTGGGGTAGGGGGTCGAACTAACTAGACAGTGCACTGGGCCCTAAACAAGGGTCAGCCTCAGGAGGGACTGGGGGGACCCAGGGAGTTTGTGGAAAGGCCAGAGCAGAACACAAAGGATGTGTATGTGCAGAAACCACGGGCAGAGACAAAGGTGCTTTCTGCTCTGCTGTCAGAACAGGGTTTTCAGCAGTGGCCCAGCTGTGAAGAAAGGGGTGTCTCCTGGACCAAAAATGGGAGCTGCAGCCTGAATGGGAGGACTGGACCCTGCAGATCTCTCAAAGCAGCCTCTACCTCACCATTCCCATGACAACAGACAAAGAGGCCCTGACCAATCTGGAGACTGGAAGGGCCACTCACCACTCCAGGCTGTCCCCCTGGTGCAGGGCACGTAGGGCAGCGTCTGGGTTCTGGTCATGGAAGTAGATGGAGGCAGCCATCAGCAGGAAGGTAGTGTTGGTCACATCCACACTCCTACTCATCTCTCGGTCCAGCTCGGCTACGATTGTGTCCCTGTTAAAACAAGGTGCTTAGGATCCAAGGCAGGAGGCAGCCTCCCTGCTTCAAGAACAGACATACTCAAAGTGGGTGAGGTAGGCCCCCAGGCGTGCATAGCAGCAAGGGACAGAACAGGACCAACTGTCTCTGACTAGCACCAATGCATGCCAGCCTCACCACCTTCCCATGAGGCACTTCTCACCCTCACACAGACAGGGAAACCAAGGCTGGGTGCTCCAGGCCTTGTGGGGGAGAGTGGTGCAGGAAGGGCCATGCCCACTAAGCAGCACAAATGATGACCCAGGCCTAGGGTCCCCTGGCCCTCAGACCTACTTGGCTGCTGTGTCCACTCTGCCCGACACAGAGGGACAGGCTGACTCGTCAAGGGTGCCTGTGCAGGGACATGAGGCTGTACAAGTGAATCTCACACCAGTGATGTCGCCGCCTTCCCGAGGAGTCCTATGTCCTGGCCCAGCTTGCCAGCTACTCCTGACAGGTGGGCGACATGCTGGGCCTGGGGCCGGGGACTGGCAGCCCAGGTGGAATCAGGGCTGGGCCAAGGATCAGCTGGACACCCCCACAGTCCCAGTGGGCCTGAACCATGGTTTGCTTAACTGGAAAATGGAACTGAGAGTTCATGTTTCAAAGGGCTGCTACACAGTTAATGAGAGAAGGGAGGTGTGGGTCCAGCCTGCCTCACCACCGCTATTTAGGGTCCAGTCTCTACAAATGCATATGTGCTATTCAGGTGTTGAGGAACTATTGACCAAGAACCTGTGTTTGAGGGCCCCTAAAGAGCACGGACATGCCTGTCACTGTTCACACCCACCAAGGAGGTCCCTGAAGGACAAATGACTTCACATATGAGCCTGTTCTCTGTCCTGCATGGTGGGATCACGTACAAGGATCACTTGGGATTGGCATGAGGGGCCCCTGAAGCCACCTCTTGAAGCTTTCTGCCTAGTCCCTGGCACACAGGGTGTGGACATGGTGCCTGCTGTTGTCGTTGCAACGTTAGTGTTGTACATTGTTCCTGTCATATACTGTAGTTATCCTCATGGGGTCTGGTACTTTCTCCACTGTCTTCTTGCTGGCTGTCTGCAAGGGGCAATAGCTTGTGCTGTCAGGATGGATGCACCATGTGCCACTCTGCTTTCCTGAGACTCACCTCATGCCCTGTGCTTCTTGTGGGTTCTTTTCTGTAATGCTTACAGCAGCCACTGCTCCTGGAGGGCCCCCAGGGTTATCTCCCCTTCTATATGAGAATGGGGCTTGTTACCCTGGCTAGTGAAGTACAGAGTGGGAGAAACGATGGCCTCAGGAGGCTGCTTGTCTTAGTATCTTGGGGCTGTCGACACAAAGCACAATGAACTGGGGAATCAAAACAGGAATGTATTCTCTCAAAGGGAGGGAAACCAGAAGTCTAAGATCAAGGTGTGGGCAAGGCTGGCTCCTTCTGGAGGCTCTGACAGAGAGTCTGTCTCAGGCCTCTTTTCTGGTGCTGCTGGTTGTGGCAGTCTTTGGTGTGTCCAATTCACCCCAATCTCTGCTTCTGTCTTCTCCTGTCTCCTCTTCTGTTGCTTATGAGAACATCAGTCACTGGACTTTGGGGCCATCCTCTATCCAGGATGATCCCAAGACCCTTAACTACTTATATCTGCAAAGACCCCATTTCTAGTGAGGTCACATTCAGTTTCTGGGTGCCAGGACATGGACATGTCTTTTGGGGGGCACATTCAGCTGCCACTGCTCACAAGCAAACCCTCTCCCAAGCCTTGGGCTTCATGGATGAAGGAGCCCAATCACAGGAGGTGGCGACAGGGTGCTGCCCTCCAAAGAAGCAGAGGTGTGTGTATGGGTTCATAGCAAATAGTCTCACCCACAGCTGCAGCAACCCATGAGGGAAGTGTGGTGTCACCAAGATCAGGACCACATCCTGGTGGAGGAAACTCCAAAGGACAGAGATTGGGAAAGGTGAGGCATCAGGTGCTGTGGGTGACTGGCTAGGGTGGTGGTGGGTTTCTGGGGCTGCGATGAAATGGCTGCTGGCACACAGAGCAAAGCACAACAGCAACCTGTTGTGGGCTTTGGAGCCTGCTGGGTTGTGTGAATGCTCTACACACAGGTAAAGCAGGGTCACCCGAATCCCACCCAAAGCCAAGAGGCATAAGCTCACATGCACCTGGGTGAGCATCCCTGCGGCGAGGGAACAGCCCATGAAAATAGCCTGTAAAGCAGGAACCACCTAAGGCGAGCACACTGGTGGCCAAGCACAGGTGGGTCTAGTCCTGAGGAATTTCACCCTGGCTCTGGCCATACTGTGGGCAGGCGAGGCCCACCATGCCCTCCCTGAACCACAGGAGGGTGTGGCATTTATGGGTCCCCACAGTCTCTCCCCCAACCTCTCCTGGCCATTGCCCTCAGGAGTTTGGCAATTGGTGGTCTGCAGTCTGGGGTGGACCCACAGCTTAGGGTGAGGTCTTGGTGTAACCCCACCTGCACTCCACCTGGCCCCTCTCCTGAGGAGACAAGCAGCAGGTGGTATAGCCACCTCCTCTGTCATGCTGAGGGTCCCTGCCCTGTATATCTGGGGGAGGCCCCAATTTCATTACCCAGGGCTGTACATTCAGGGAGCCCCTCAGAGTCCCTGAGGGCATCTACACATGTACCCTGTCTCTGATCCCCAGACTCCTTTGAAACACAATCCATCACTGCCCCAGACTGTGCAGGTGGGGGAAACTGAAGCACAGGGAGATGAGGGGGCAGGGAGGAAGGCTCCCCCCCCCCCCCC